GAGAGAGAGAGAGAGAGAGAGAGAGAGAGAGAGAAATTTGTGGTCTCCTACACTCAAATTCAGAGCACTATAGCCATAGGTACACATAGCCAAAAACACCATGTAAATTTAATATATTGTTTAAATTTTTAGCAAGCTGCAACATGAATTGCTGTGTGGTGATAAAAAATTCAAGAATAAAAGTTGCAGACTAAGAGAATCTTATGGACAATGACATATGCCCAATGACCTCAAATTATAGAGTAAGTACCATGGAGGCATTTGACCTCCTGATTTAGCAGTTAGAAACTTAAAGGCACAAGGGCCCCAAAAAAACCCAGAATGAAATTGATGATGATATTCGCGAGAGAGGAAAAAAGGGATGGTCGAGAGAGAGAGAGACTTTAGAACATAAGATTTTATATAATGCAGTATCAAACATAATGATGCACGTTTCAATTTTTCAGTTGGTAAGTCACATCTTATGCGAACAATGTGTGATGAATACAGAAACGCCCATCCTTCATTAGCAATCATCAGCAGTCAGCACACCCAGGTAGTTCTATTACCATCTAAAGCAAAAAGCACTTACTGAATTTGCGACACTGATAAAACCAAATCAGAATTTGAGACACTGATAAACCAAATCATTGCATTTGACAAACTGGAACAAGAATATTGCAAAGTCAGCACTCTCTGGCTGCAACCCAACTATCATATATTTAAACGGAAAAGACACGAAGTAACTTGAAGACAATATTACATCATTATGTTATAATATCAACGCAACTAAGTTTTATGCCGTGGTAAAGCATAACATGTAAGGTTGAATTGTTGCTTTCTCCATCATCATTATTTCAAAGAACCATCAAGAATAATTGGCCTTCACAGTTTCCTCGTACAAATATATATATATATCAAAATATGGACCATGCCCAAAATCTGGTCAACTTATAAATGTTCAAATTGATTATTCAGATATTAGATTAGATAAGTACCAATCAGCTACATGGCCCAAGCACCATGTAGCATGTAGCTAAGTACCAATCAGCTACATGGCCCAATCACCTCAAAGGAATACCAATCATTCACAATGTACTATAAGCAAGTAAATTGTTCACCATTCAAACCATAAAGCCACAAAAAATTCACACATGCTCCTTCAACTTTCAACATTCAAATCACTCAAGAATATTTGAAACTTGAGAGAGAGAGAGAGTTCCAAATCACATTAATGTACAAATATATTAAATTGAACGTTATTGTTTCATAGAAGATATAGAACTATAAGTATATACAATTATAAGTATATAGTTACCATAAAGCAGATACTCATTCCTTTTATAAAAAAAAGGAGGGCAAATATTAATATCATAAATAAAATTACACATACGAGAGTAATTTTTTGAACTTCTGATTTCTCAGGGACAATAGCAACAGGTTTGCGATTCTTTTTTTCAAATAGAAATTCATCTACTCGATCCGCAACACAAGCATCTTGTCACACCTCAAGAATTTACAATACTGTTATTCTTGAGATGTGACAGACAAAACATATATACATCTATTGATAGGACAAATTTACAGTGGCGAGGTCTTACAAAGTAAATAAAGAAAGCTAGCACAACAACAGTATCTTCCAAGGTTGATCTTGACTAGCACTCAAAATGAATCCGTTGTTATCCTGAAAAAATGTTTACCATAGTTTGATGAGTTTGGCTACTCAGTAAGTAATCATCATAATCCTAAAAAAATAATCATGGTTGAAAGATATCAATATTTTCAAAAAGAAGATCTATTAACAGAAATGCATCAACAATTTCACTTTCAATAAATGCATAATTAAGTATAATCCGAATAATTGAAATGCACATAACACTTTAACGCGTCAATGCATAATTCAAAGGATTTCACAAAATACCCTACTGACGTCCCAAGTAGGTCACCTATATACCCCATCAGCGTCCTGATAGGTCCACTTAATCCCTATCGGCATCCCAGATAGGTCCACTTAATCCCTGCAGGTCCACTTATACCTCACCGGTGTACCGGATGAGTCCACTTAATCCCTACCGGCGTCCCGGATAGGTCCACTTATACCTCACCGGCGAACCGGATGAGTCCACTTGCATACTTAAATTATTTCAAAATCTCTTTAAACATTCGAAAGCAGCAAATATCATGTACTCAACATATCACTGAAATCACTAATATGAATTTCACTAAAACCATTAATAACAGTCACTTTCAATAACATTTCAACCAATCAAATATTTTGGGCTCAAATTTAGAAAGGTAGCAATTCGTAAGGACATTCTAGCATAATTGCCAATATAATATGTATAGGAAAACTCTTATAGAAATTCAAGAATACGGAATTATCACAATTTATGGGATGTTAATTTGCAAATAAACATTTCACAATAATGCTATAATCAAATGCAAAAATATCAATTTTCAGATAATAAGGCAGTCATTCGCATATGAAATTTACAATGTCTAAATATTTAAAAACAATAGAAAGAAATCTCACAATTTTACTAAAAGCAGAAATATCACATTTATTTCTAATAATTTGATAGTATCTAAAATTTTCAAACAATAGACAAGAAAAATAAATAAATTTATTTTTCTAAAAATTTCTACCATAGATAAAATATCACAAGTTTTATAAAAATATTATTTTTCAAGATAATGAGGTCGTGTGCGCATAAAATTTATCGCACCTAAAATTCATGATAATAAGCAGGAATAATTGTTTCATTTTATTTTTAAAAAGAATAGATTATTTTTCGAGACAATGAGGTCACTTACACACAAAACTGATAAAATAAAAATCCTAAACGAAAATATCACTATTTATTAAAAATAGACTATTTTTCAGAAAGACGATGTCACTTACCTAAAATATTTGAAAGAGAACTTCTACAAAATTCGGCTAGAGAGCGAAGAGCGGTGAAAGCACCATGGGTAAAGTCCTTAGAGGAAGTAAAGCCGAAAGGCTTTTCAGTGACACTCTTTAGACCAAAGGACAACTTCTTTTATAAAACATACATGGCTTAACACGCATGATGCAAAACGTTACACATCATTTAAGTGTGTCAATAGAGGGTTAACTGCAATATATGGCACTGCCACCACACAATATTACAATTAAGCAGCATCTTATGGAGGCACGTCAGCTTTACTTAAGCTGGCAAGAAGAAAAGTTTTGGACGCTTGCAAACAATTATGATAAAAGAGCTGATGGACCAAAGGTCTACCTTAAAGGAATGGACTAGCAAAAAAAAAA